GGAATCCAGTTTTAAAAATTTTCACAGCTCCGTTATATCATTTATGACTTGTGTGCAAAATTTGAGGTCAACCACACTTGATTTGATAGATTCCAGCATCGAATGTAGAAGTAGACAATTCTTAGTTTCATTAAGCTTGAATTGGGGTATGATTCGTGATTTTAGCGTTGTTTGATGTGATTTAGAGGTTCGACTAAGTTCTTATGATATTTTAGGACTTTTTGGTATATTTTTTTGAGGTCCCGAGGGCCTCGGGTGAGTTTCGGATGGTTAACGGATAAAATATTGGACTTAAACAGCTACTATAATTTTTCTCTTATGCTGAAAATTCTGGGAAGTGATCGAGCCCAAAATCGAGGCCCAAAATCGAGCTCCCAAGATCGAGCTCCCTGATCGGACTGGACAGATCTGTAAGTTATAAAAACAGAGGCATTCGACCCATTTGCCATTTTTGACAAACTTGAGCTTGAGCAGAGGCGAATTTTGACAGATTTTCAAGGAAAGACATTTGGGGTAAGTGATTCTAACTCGGATTTGGTCTATATACACAAATATATCATTATTTTCACCATTTAATTAGTGTTTTGAGATTAAAATTTGGAAAATTTTAGAAATCTCATAGAAACGAATTTTTGAGATTTCGGTATCGATTCGGAGTCGAATTTGAGTGAAACTGGTATGGTTGGACTCGTAATTGAATGGGTTGTCAGATTTTATAACTTTTGCCGGATTCCGAGATGTGGGCTCCACGGACGAATATTTAATTAATTTCGGGATTTTTATTAAAAATGTAGTATTTTCTTATAGAAATGATTCCTATAATTTTTAGTGATTGTATCGAATTATTTTGGCTAGATTCGAGATGGACAGAGTTGGATAATCGTGGAAAAGACCTTCTAGTGGGTTAAATTGGAGCACGACGAGGTAAGTCTCTTGTCTAATCTTGTGAGGGGGAAATTACCTCATAGGAGATTAAAATTAAATAATTATTGCTAATTGTGGGGGCTACGTACGCATGAGGTGACGAGAGTCCGTGCGTAGCTACTACTAATGCTAAAGTCCGGGTAGTTTAGGACTCAAAACATGCATTACTTGTGAAAGTTGTATTCTTTGATTAATTAATATTAATTGATATATATGAATATATTGTGAATTGTTAGATAAAGATATTAAAGGATGGAAATCTCATAGGCTTGATTTTCTGTTTAAATCAATTAATTGTTAAAAGAAATTATTCTTCCTCCCGAATTTATCTTATAATAAATATACTCTCCTTCCGGAGGCACATAAGAAAATGTCCTCCTTTCTTGTGGAGCGGGCCTAACACCTCGACAGGACAGATGCATTTATGGATCGTGCCGCACGTCTCTTCTTATATTTACATTCTATTTATTTCAGTTCAGATAGTATTTGGAGTTTTGTATAACCTACTAGATGCTCATGCACTTGTGACACCAGGTTTTGGCACACACATTGGTAGAGTTTGAGTTTTATTATATTTTCTTCGTTTTAAATTTTATCAATGTATGCTTAATTTATTAGTTGGCTTGCCTAGCTGTAGTGTTTGCCGCCATCACAACCTACAGGTAAAATTGGATCCTGACATGATCCGAGTGAGAGTGGGAACTCTCAATCCCAAAATCCTTCTGACGAACCTGAATTTCAACTACGAAAGAGTGCTAGGAAAAATTAACCCAAACGTACGTATAAGATTGAAGATTACATTTTCTTGGTATCTCCCACAGAAATGAATGAGCCAAAGTCTGTAACTGAGGCTTTATCGAGCCTTGGAAAAGATGGGTGGATGAAAGCAATAAAAGAAAATGGGTTCTCAAAGTTAAACGCAAAGCTGATGGGTCAATATAAAGATATAAGGAACGATTGGTGGCAAAAGGCTTTACTCAAGAAGATAGAATAGATTATGAGAAAACATTTTTACCAGTTATGATGTTTACATTCGCTTACTTTTGGCTATTGTTGCACGTTTGAAAATTCTTAGTTTCATTAAGCTTGAATTGTGGTATGATTCGTGGTTTTAGCGTTGTTTGATGTGATTTAGAGGTTCGACTAAGTTCGTATGATATTTTAGGACTTGTTGATATATTTGTTTGAGGTCCCGAGGGCCTCGGGTGAGTTTCGGATGGTTAACGGAACAGAAATTAGACTTAAACAGCGGCCGTAATTTTTCTCTCCTACTGGAAATTCTGGGCTGTGATCGAGCCTAAGATCGAGGCCCAAAATCGAGCTCCCAAGATCGAGCTCCCTGATCGAGCTCCCTGATCAAACTGGACAGATCTGTAAGTTATAAAAGCAGAGGCATTCGACCCATTTGCCATTTTTGACAAACTTGAGCTTGAGCAGAGGCGATTTTTGACAGATTTTCAAGGAAAGACATTTGGGTTAAGTGATTCCAACTCAGATTTGATCTATATACACAAATATATCATTGTTTTCACCATTTAATTAGTGTTTTGAGATTGAAATTTGGAAAATTTTAGAAATCTCATAGAAATAAATTTTTGAGATTTCGGTATCGATTCGGAGTCGGATTTGAGTGAAACTGGTATGGTTGGACTCGTAATTGAATGGGTTGTCGGATTTCATAACTTTCGCTGGATTCCGAGATGTGGGCCCACGGACGAATATTTAATTAATTTTGGGTTTTTTTATTAAAAATATAGTATTTTCTTATAGAATTGATTCCTATAATTTTTAGTGATTGTATCGAATTATTTTGGCTAGATTCGAGCCTGACAGAGTTGGATAATCGTGGAAAAGGCCTTCTAGTGGGTTAAATTGGAGCAAGACGAGGTAAGTCGCTTGTCTAATTTTGTGAGGAGGAAATTACCTCATAGGTAATTAAAATTAAATAATTGTTACTAATTGTGGGGTCTACGTATGCACGAGGTGATGAGAGTCCGTGCGTAGCTACTATTAATGCTAAAGTCCGGGTAGTTTAGGACTCAAAACATGCATTACTTGTGAAAGTTGTATTCTTTGATTAATTAATATTAATTGATATATATGAATATATTGTGAATTGTTAGATAAAGATATTAAAGGATGAAAATCTCATAGGCTTGATTTTCTGTTTAAATCAATTAATTGTTAAAAGAAATTGTTCTTCCTCTCGAATTTATCTTATAATAAATATACTCTCCTTCCGGAGGCACATAAGAAAATGTCCTCCTTTCTTGTGGAGCGGGCCGAACGCCTCGGCAGGATAGATGCATCTATGGATCGCACCGCACGTCCCTCGGCAGTGTACACGACACTCAGGATCGGGTCATACGTCCTCGACAGAAACCGTGCTTAATAATAATAATTGCACGATACTTTAATAATTTATTTCAGCTTGCGAAGCTAATTGAAAAGTCCTTGGAATTTAATGAATTATTATTCTTGCTTGTTAAGGAATTAATTGTTACTCCTGTAAATGAGATTTAATTGATAAATT